ACCAGAACATCAGCTGTTGCACATGCAAACGTGATGATGTAATGGTGCCTGGTACAGGTGAAGTTATAACAGCAGCGTGAATTTAGAGGAGCACAGAGTCTTTAATGAGTCTCTCATCTTCTCTGCAGGAGAAACTGGCAGCATGCTGTTTAGTTTAGACCGATGATAGCACTGTGTTTGCTCCTACAGGTGCAGCTAATAAGAGTAAATATGAATTAAGAAATATGTCTTATGGGCTTTTCAGATGCCACTTGTTATGCAAGATCAACCAAATTCAAACTGAAAGACATGCATAAAGTCTGAAATGTGTCTGAAATGCATAAAGTCACACATTAGACAGAGTTTGTTGGATTATTTGCGTTATCGTTCTGCATTGTTTGAGACACGGTTTCATGATTTTTTTTTAATAGAGCTCAATACTATGAACCAAACGGCCCACATACATGAACCGGTGTCCCAAGCCAGACACACAGAGGGGTGCACTGTATGAGCTTGACACATTTCTATGATGGTCACGATCTCAGTATATCTCAATACTGTGGATCATTATAAATCTTCCAGCACATTCAGGAATGTCGGTGATTGGAGTCACTGTGACATTGCTTCTGATCTGCCTTCAGATGGTGTTGATTTCTGTGCCAGTGATTTGGTCTGAGCTTTAAGGTTAAAACTGGGAGGTTATACACTGTTTCGCTGTTGTTTCAACAGCTTTGAAATTACTGCATTTCTATTTGAAGCATGTCATAACGTAGCCATGGGAACCAAACCAAACTGTTAGGTCAAAAATCTCTTACAAACAATCAGCTAAGACTTGTTTGTCAACTTCTATCCATACCAGCAAGTGAGACAGAGCTGCCTGCTGCACAGGGGCATATTTGAACTGTGTATGGACACACCACAGGAGAAAAATCCATGATCACTTCTCCAGATGGGTCAAGTCTGAGGCAATAAGATCAAATATCTGGGACATTTTTGCAGACTTCCCTAATACATGAAACACTGATATTCATCTTCAGCTTGAGGAGACCTGAACATCATATTGTCAGCACATTAGTACACTGATCAGTGAAAAAGCGGTGATTTTTTGTTTACTGCTGTTGGTTCACCACAGGTCAAACTGTGTGAGTGAAACCATAGCAGTGGCTCTGACTGAGCTTACCTACCTCATTGGGACAAACTGTACAAAATGCAGGCCCCAGTCTGAAGCTAGCTTTAGCTGATTAAAGTAAATGTATCAGTCTGGTAGAACGCTCTGGTTATTGCTGATGCCCTTCACTCTCTTTCTCCACTTGTGCTCTTGTTTTTCTTCACTCCCTGGCTCATAATTTGGCCTCTCCTCTGAGTAGATAAAGCTGTTGGTCCAAACCCCAACAGAGCACAGAGGCATCTGATTTACAGATGACTACTGTTTGTCCTCAATGGAAAAATGCTCTGCTCAGACATGCAGAGCTTCTGAATAGCGCAGGGATAGGGCTGATTGATTTTTACTGAGGACGAGAGGCTTGAGTCAGACAGCTGATCACATTCTGATGTAGTGCCAAGTGAAACCAAGGAGAGAGCTGCATGTCCACTGGCAGAAAATCCCCAATTATTCTTAAAGCTCCATTAATTAATACATTTCAACAACAGATTAAATAAATACTTGTAATGTGGCAAGCCCACAGAGAAGTCAGATTATTATTATTATAACAATGTGGAGCCTCAGTGAGTTTCAGGATCAGAGCAGACGTCTTCCTGCTCCTTGTTGTTTCTCCTCAGACTTTGCTCTGGGAAGCTGCAGCCTGCTCTCACTGTTAACAGATGTAACATCCCACAGACCTTCAGACCTGTCAGCCTCAGTCCCTGTGTGTGTGGATACAAAGTGCTCACACTCACATTCCTCTGGTGTACAGCAGGGAGTCTGCAAACATACTGTTGTCCTGTATAACTGCATCAGTGTGTGCACTGTTGTGGGTGCAGGCAGGCTACAGGCGAGTAAATGTCTGAATGCGTGAGTGGATGACAAAGAGAGACAAAGAAAAGCTTTTCTTTGTCAGAGAAACCGCAGGAGCTCTGCAGCTGCACTGGACATGTGGCAGCTTTATGGTTTCATCTCTCTGAATTTCTTCTTCTCTGTTTTTGTTTGCTGCCTTTCATACCATCCTGCTTATGCAACAGCCAGCGTGGTCTGAAGGGAGATATCGGCTCCACATAACCTCACTGTGGTTTTATTGGTTAATGGAATTCATGTCTGTACCAAGCATGAAGGTATGCACACATGTTCCGCCTCATCACTGTCACTGATCAGGGCTGGCTGGTGGAGGCTGGCAGCCGTGCCCATATGGGCCTGTGCCATTTAGAATCAGTTTTGCAGGTTCGACCTAAACTGAAGAAGCTTTGTGCTGCATAAATGCGGAGAAAACTGAAAAATAGAAAAAGTGGGAAAGTGCTTTCAGGTAGTGAGTAAAATGTAACAGCACAGATGGTAAAACTGCCATGTAGATGTGTTTTTTTCTATTGCCTTAATTACATGTTTGTGATGAATGAATGCACATATAGAATTAATCCTCACTAATGGAGAACAAAGAAAACTTGTTTTCGAACTTGGGTTCGATACCCAATGTACTAGAGGTATACTAAAGAGACTCTAGTTTTGAAGGGGAAAGATAATCCACAACTTATTTTGCAAATTTGGGGAACATTTCGCAGCTGCTTCTGTCTCCATATCTGTTTCACACAGAGCCTGTAACATTCTCTCTCTGCATCTCTCTGGCGCTCTTTATTAATTTGTGTCTAGCTTTAAGCGAGTAGCTATGGATCCTGGGCAGAATGGATGCAGGAGATGAAAGGTGCTTTAGGGTATAATAACAAGCAGGGAAGCCTTGCATAGCCGAGTCTGCTCTCAGGTCAGAGGTCAGGTGGTGTTGCCACAGTTTGGGCTGTTCTGTAATTAACTGGAGGAGCTGGGACGAGATGTGGAGCAGCAGACGTGACAAACCGCAGCGAGGGGAGTCTGCCGTGGGAACAGGGAGACAAAGCACGGCTGCTCTCTGGGAATCATCCCGAGAGAGAAAAAGTGACAGTGACTGTGGGAATGTTTGAGGAATCCTGCTACTCTTGGTATGTTTGTTTCTATAAATCAATAACAACAACTAGAGCCTTGCATTATCTTTGTTTTCTGAGTTGTGTACAACTACACGTAAACTTCTTTGTTAGTAATTAGGGGCATACAATAAAACCTGCTCTTGGCTCTTGACCTCTAAGAGTTTAAGCTGAGGATCAACTGCCTGTGTTTGGTGTATACTGTATATCAGAAGGCACTAAGCTGTCTGAAAAGTAATGTGTAACATGTTGGTTTTAACACCATAGACTGGAAAACCATGAATTAGTGTGAAACTTTGTGAAATGCAGCTGTCTGATTTCAGGATAATCACTAGCTTCTCCTGTCAGCACTGTTTTATATGTAAAACATTGAATCTGCAATGTAACTTCAGCCATTAAATAAAAGTGGCCTCCCTGAAATGTAGAAGGAAAACTGAAGTGGACCAGACTCTAAACATTCAAAACATTAAGTCTCAGTATGTTTCAGTGAGTCCAGCCCAAAGCAGCTGCCAGTAAGTTCACTCCTACAGACATGTGATACACCATACATAATGGTGTGTGGGAAGCCTTCTGCTGTGGGAGGGTTATGCTAATACCTTCAGAGCCCTTTCAACAGTGGTGGAGAAGTGCTCAGATACATTATGTGTATTTATATATATGAATACAGTATGTACCATGTGAGCAAAACCACAACATTAACTAGTACTGATAGGACCTACCTACAGTACAACGTGTCAACATTGTATTCAAGTGTCTCGAACTCCTTAACAAATGAGCAGCTGATCATTTTATCAAGAATCAAGTGATAATGTGAATCTGTCTTTCAACAGAACATGGAACTTTGCTGGCTCTATCTATGCTGATCAAACTTTCAGGTAGCATAATGAAATGTATGTGAATAGAATGTGTATGTTGCTGTTGCATCATGCACACACTTGTGCGTTCATTAGCGACACAAGTGTGATTATAAGAGTCCACTCAAGATGATGTCGCTCGTCCAATATGATCACAGACAAAGCGGTTGGTTGAGGCCAGAGCGGGAGCTTGAATGGAGGGAAGGAGCGGAAGAGGGGAGGGGTGGGATGGATGGATAAAGGGTAAGGGAGGTGGGGGGGGCAGCTGAACAAGGAGCTCTTTATAATGATTGACTCTGTTCACTGTGACTCATCGTACTTCACAGGCCTGTGTGCGCCCTGGTGTTTGCTGAATGTCACATTGTGTTGTAAGAATGTCAGGATGTTGTGTTGGGATGTCTGAAATGCCCCTCAACATCACAAACCCTTGCGTCTATTGTACGCCTCCAGTCTGTGCTTCGCTTAAATTTAACTTCAAATGTGCTTTAAAAGGCATGATGATGGTGAAGGTGAGTGCTGTCGGAGCAGGTTGTTCCAGGTCTAGAATGTAAGCTTTGCATGCTGGGAAACAGCGTAAAGACTGGTGGTAGCTGGAAGCTCTGTCTGAAGGTCACGCACATCTAAAACTCCCTAATTAATACATTTGTTTAAAGAAATATCACCTAAGTATACTGAAACCACTCTGATCGTACACACAAGAAGCTGACACCAGATAACACTGGGACCTGGAAATATTCTACATTTTTCCTATTGATAAAATATTTTACTCGCTGCTGATACTGCTCCAGCAATTATTCCCTGAAGACATTTAAAGAAGTTGCCTAGTTTCTGTCAGAAATGACAGGTGTGTTTCTGCTTTGCTGTTACACCCTGATGGTTCTACTGTACAATCCAAACAAAGGCAGGGCCTCAAGCAAGGCAAACAGGAGCAGCATTCAGTGAAACTGCAGTTAGGTTGGCAGTTATTGCAGCTTATATGTCTCTCATTTGGGGAATTTTTACAGTTGCTTTATGGCTCTTTACATGTAGTAAAAGAGGAGTGACTTTCTTCTTTTTTCTTTTCAGAGTCCCGGAGTTTCCTGGACAGTATGAATCACGGCAGCAGCTCCACAGAGGGAGAGCTGTTCAGATCAGACATGTCAGTCACTCCTGCTTCCTGTCAGAGGGCCTTTGGCTCCATGTGCTCGGTGTCATCGGGAAGCCCCCTCCCACACACAGACAGGTAAACACACATGCACACCTGTCTCCTAGTGCTGAGACAATAGTGTACAGTTTACAATACCAGTCAAAAGTTTGGACTTTCTCATTCAGGGGTTTCACTTTAGACATCTCTTAGTGAGAGTTGCGATCTGAGATCTGAAACTGGCCTGTAGCCGGAAGCTGTTTAGTTCTAGTTCTAAAACTGTCTAACTTGCATTAAACTCATCTAACAGCAACATTTCCACTGGTCTGACTCTACAGACCAGTCTAAAATGTCTTTCTGAAATCATCCCCAGGTCTTCCTTGACAAATGGAACATTACCTGGTTAAATAAAGGTTTAAAATAACATGTTTTTCTTTCTGATGAAACAAGAATAAGGATAATCACCTTTATTGGCCAAGTATGTTACACACAAGGAGTTTGTTTCTGGTACAGAACCGATGGCAGCCATCTGTGGCCCCAATGCAACCAATGGCTCTAACCACTGGGGGCTCAGTGTCTTGCCCAAGGACACTTCAACATGTGGACTGCAGGCACTGAGATTCGAAACCTTCAACCTTCTGGATAAGAGACAACTGCTCTACCCACTGCACCACTGTCGCCTACCCATAAAACAAGTTGCTGCACTAGAATCAAGGAAAATTAAACTTTAGAAAACTTTTGAAACCAGTTTATGACTTTCAGGACCAAATTATAGACTAATCTGACTTGATAAGAGGAAACCTTTTGCAGTGAGTTGATGATTTTCGAAAAAGAAAATGCTATCAAGCCATCATTTTAAAGTAAAGCAGGTGCTTGACAACATTCTGCTATGAAATGTATTATTTATTGTGTTATACACTAGACCTAGAGTTGACACTTTTATGTTTTTATTTCCACCTTTAACCCATTCTCTCTCTCTGCAGCTCCACCCCTCCTCCAGCATGGCATGACCGGACTCCAAACTCCCTGAACTCCCCGTATCCCCCCCAGCCTTCACCTCCTCTCTCCTTCAGCACTCCCGATGCCCACAGTTCTCCCCTGGGGGTTCCAAAAGGCCTCGGTGGAGGCCGGAGGGTCTGCGGGGAGGCAGACAGCACAGACTTAACTTCGCTGCTGGTGGGTAATGGCAGCTTGGATCACAGCCTGCTAGAGGCCATGGATGGCCTTGGGAGTCTGAACCTCAGAGGTGATGGGGGCCTCGCTCCACTGCTGCCTGAGAAGAGGAGAGGGGGAGAGGGGGTAGAGCTCAGCTCACGCTCACCCTCTCTAAGCGGATTTTCCAGCCCTCACAGTGGCAGTAGTGTCAGCATCTCTTTCTCTTCCCCCATGACCCCCGACCCCCTTAGAGGACTCAGTGGGGCCTCATCACCCGGAGCAGGTATACTGTCCCAGATAGTTTGGGGTTTATGTGGCATTAATATATTCATTTGTTCCATCAGTCTCTCTTATAAAGGGTCAGCTAACCCATATTACAAAAACACTGAGCAACTGAGCAAAAGTTATAATATTCAAGAATATTTGTTGTTATATTTTAAACATATTAAATAATGAGTAACTGTAACCATGGTTCTAGAAATACAAGTTGTTCCATTTTAATACTTTTGCAGTGCTTTAATTGTATTTTGTTGGCAGCAAACTATCTGCATTGGCTACATACTGCTGTAAATCACTAGGGTTGAGCAATAAACTGTTTTTGGGATTTGGGTGTACTGGCCCTTTAACCAGTCTCACTGTATTTTTATCTCTGCTTCCTTGTCATACTTACGTGAGCAAACATAAAGCTTCCATTTGTATCTTGCAGACTTTGGGAGCAAGCAGGACACAGTGAAGTTTGTTCAGGACACTTCCAAGTTCTGGTACAAGCCCGATATTTCCAGAGACCAAGGTAAACATTGGTCTTGGACAGGGGAGCCTAACAGCCTCCTGTGAGCAGGTTTCCCTCCATATACAGTGCGAACATGACCCAACTTGAACTTATCTTTGTTCCTCCCACTGTTCACCTACTAAACAGCCATTGCAGTGCTAAAGGACAAAGAGCCGGGCTCCTTCATTGTCAGAGACAGTCATTCATTTCGTGGGGCATACGGATTGGCCATGAAGGTGGCCACGCCCCCTCCATCTGTGTTACAACACAGTAAGAAAGGTAGGTTTTAGCTTGTGCTGTGGGAGCGCACTACAGCTGTGTTAGTCTGTATAACTATTTGTAGAAAATATACATCACTTTAGTGGTATTTTAAAAGGGGCATTATAATACACACTATATATATACTGTATAATACACAGACTATTTTGTACACATACTGTATGTTTTTGCACCAAAATTAGAATACTTCCATCTGCATGTGTAGCTCTATTGAGTACCTGCGTACTGAACCATGACCTGTGTGTGTCTGCAGCTGGAGACCTGTCCACTGAGCTGGTGAGACATTTCCTGATAGAGTGCACGCCGAAAGGAGTTCGTCTTAAAGGCTGCCCCAATGAGCCGTACTTTGGTGAGGATGCTCTCGCTGTGCTCAGTGTGTCCTCTATCCTTTCTCATGTTTAGAATCATCCGAGAAAGGCCTCCTGATAAAATCTCATGTATATTTTCTTTTATAATGTGACATTGATGATCATGATATTGTGCATTTTCTAGTCACTTTCTGGCTAATAAACTGACAAATCAAGATACTTCATCACATTGAAGCAAAAATCTGCTGTGAAGTACTCCTGTTAGGTATGAGTACTACAACTATTATGGGTTGGTACATTTCTGTTGTCTTACAGGATATTACAGAGATATACCGTTGTCAGACATTCTTTTATTATTACCCGGACTTACCTGTCATACATTTGGATGACAAACTGTTTCAACATGCCAAAGTAAAATACTGTGTTGACACTAACTGAGTGGTATGCTACCAGCTCTGATATTGAATTCTAACAGTTTCCAACAGAAAATAAATTACCAGCGAGTAGCTACTTGGATTTAAATGAAGCTGTTAATTTATATTTTGGTACCTACTTAAAGTTATTTAACCAGGAAAAAGAAAAGTAAAATATTTCCCTCTGAAACTTAGCAGAGGGAAACTGAAGTATTAGCTGCAGTACTATCCACCAAACCACGAGCTGCATGGCAGTGGCCTTGGCACAATAAAGTACTAGATTTAAACAGAGCTGACATTTTAAAGTGCTGTCTTCAGCACCATAAGTCAGTCCAGTAAGCCCAGTAAGCAGCTCACTTTCTCCCAGTCATCTGTAATTGGGTGGATCCAATCAGGATTTTCCTCTGCTACCCCCTAGAGGTCATTACAATCAGGTACAGCTACAGTATCTCTGTTACTGTTACACCGATATGTTTGTCAGTCTGGTTGACAGGTCTCTGTAAAGTGTGATTTGACCTATTCTTTTCCTGACAGGAAGTCTCACAGCTCTGGTGTGTCAACACTCCATCACCCCTCTGGCTCTGTCCTGTAAACTCATCCTGCCTGACAGAGGTAAAGTGTGTGTGCTTGTACATGTGCAACACATTGATACAGTGCTGTTTTTCTTAAACCAATGTCTATCAAACCTAAACACTGCCAGACATCCTTCTGAAGTCACTGAAGTATCATAAATTGTCACTAAGCTGCCACAGACTTGGTAAGATCATCAGCTTCTAATTTTCTCAACAGAAAATATTAATTCTTTACATTATTCTTCAGTGTTAATTTTAGATCGTTTTGTTATAAGCAATATTTTAAGAAATGACAGAAAACTGAGAGATTATAGTATTTTGGTGTAAGAAATGAAAACAGCCTGAATCAGAAGTCCGTAAAGAGCTGGACCTGCACACTGCTTGTGCAAACTTTTCTTGTTAGTATACACATATTTCTAAGCAGGACGGTGAACCCTTTACAGTGGGTTAAAATATGTGAATCAGGTTTCAGCCCCACAGGCCACTTGGGAGATTTCTATACTTTAAGGCAGCTTCAGTGGAGAAGTCCTGAGAAGTCCCTGTTTTCCTGCTTATGCTGTTTATGTTATTTATGCACAAATTACAACAAAGAAACTTTTCAAAATGAAAACAGATTATTTGTAATTTGAATCACTTCTGCTGGTTTGAAAAAATATCTAACATCCAAGTGTGTGCATGCCTGGTACAAAATATCTGCATGCAACTGGACAGTGCATGTGAACAATTTGTGCGTTCTCAGGCAGCGAACTCATCAGTGCTTCTGTGTTTCTGTGTTTGCGTGCAGACCCAGTGGAGGAGGTGAATGACTCTTCTGCACAAACAGCAACAAACTCAGCAGCCGAACTCCTCAAACAGGGAGCAGGTACACAGACGCAGACACCATATGTACTCAAATCTGTGAATTTGTTTGACTTGTGTGTGTGGGCGCAGAGAATATTAATGTATCATCAGTTCACCCAGCATTTGATGAAGCTTTAATTAAGTTTGTGTCACACTACAAAATACACCTGAGTTGCTTCAGTGAATAAATCAGTAGCTAACACTTGTGTGCGTCGCTGTGTAGCGTGTAACGTGTGGTACCTGGGCTCCGTGGAGCTGGAGTCTCTGACAGGACACCAGGCGGTTCAGAAGGCAACCACGGTGACACTCTCCATGGACCCTCCACCGCCCTCCACCGTCGTCCACTTCAAAGTGTCAGCACAGGGAATCACGCTCACTGACAACCAGAGGAAGTGTGTTTTACATCTGCAGAACAAACACACACACACAGAGATTCAGGTGTGACTCTTTTTAAAATCTTTTTGTTCTTGCAGGCTGTTCTTCAGGAGACACTACGCTGTCAGCACAGTTATATTTTGTTCGCTGGACCCACAGGGCAGGAAGTGAGTACATAAAGTGCCACAACACTGCTGAAAACATTCTTATTTATTGTAACAGACAGCACTAGAAGAACACCCCCCACTGCAGTTGAACAAGCCATTTATTGGTTTATTCTAATGCAAAACTGAAGATCCACATAAAAGTGCACAGTGACAGACTGTTCTGCTTATTAACTAATAAGCTGGCATATACAGCGAAAAATATTATTCTTAAAAAGACCAAACTCTTGAAGAATGGAGGAGTGGTTGAAATACATTTGCTGACTTTGTTTCTATGTGTGTATCATAGCGGGACAGTGATTGTCTGAGAAAACACATTTGTTCCTTGTGTGACAATAAGTGAGAATTTAGATTCAGTTATTCACATTAAAACCTGTATTTTCAAACAAGACTCCATTAGTTGCAAAATACCACAAAATGTCAAGCAGGGAGGCAGAATTCATATGATGTATGATGATGGCAGAACTCGACTAAAATTTTATTTACATTCTAGTCCAGACAAAATCCTGAGGATGTTGTTTGCATGATGAGGTTTTGTGTTATAATCAGAGGAAACAGGCGACGCTGTTATTAAATGTAACACATGTAAATTTGATGGCCAGTGATAACTTGTTAACGCCATTCTGACCACACAGATGGACGAGAGACAGCGGTTCCACTGCAAAGTGAGTTTTTATCATCTTCTCCCTTCAGTGCTCTTCATCCTTTTATTTGTTTTCATCAGTGCATTGTGCGTACTTTTCCTTTTCTGTCTTTATGTGAACTGTGTCTTGATTAACATGCATAAAATACTGTATATAGCCTGAGGTCTCAGGAAGAGAGGAATCATTAAAACAATAAAAGCACTAAGTAACACCAATGCCGGATTAGCAGAGGGGCTAATCACCAGAAAAAGAAAATAAGCAGTGCATGGCACTCAGACTGTACTGACTTTATTGGCACTGGCAAAAAACTCTAGGGTCACAGTTATGTTTTTAAAGAGATAATACTAATTCATGTCTTCATTTTAAACAGTAAACTTTTAACTTTAAATAGGACTTGTCTAATACACAGGGAAACTGACTTACTAGAAGGGACAAGTGACAGAAATGCATCTCTTTTCAAACAGCAATTGATTGTTTTTTGACTTTTAGTGTTTTATTCAACCTGATTCCAGTACTGAATTTGCTCCCTTAATCTGAATCTGTTCAACCTTCTGAGTGAATTACACTATGTTCACTGTTCAGCGTATGGCAGCCAAACTGAGGCCACGGCCTCACAATGACATAAGGAAAACATGTGCTCAGTAAACATAGTAAAACCATACATACAGTAAATAACAGCAGAAGATGTTAAATGTTGATAATATATGTACAGTGTTTACACATAAACAGCCTACTGACTTTGGCACATCATATTTTCCAGCAGATACTTTTTAGTATTTTGATGTTTTTTTCTGCCATGAAAACATTTTTTATGAAAAAGAAAAATCAAAACTTGTAACTGCCACATTTCCCTCCTGCAGTGTGTTGATATTTGATTTTGGGTGACATGTGGCCTAAAGTCAGAGCCATAAACAGAACCTCTCGCTACCTGTTTACTTACTATACTTCGCAGTATGTCAGATGTACTGAAACTGGTTCTGTCTTGCTCTTCCTCTGCTTCTTCCAGGATCTTTGGTTTTGTGGCCAGGAAATCTCAGAGTGAGACTGAAAATATGTGCCATCTCTTTGCTGAGCACGACCCCGAGCAACCAGCGAGCGCTATCGTCAACTTTGTCTCAAAGGTCATGATTGGCTCGCATAAAAAGTAAAACAGACTCCAACTGTTCAATAGAGAATATGGACTGGGGCCAACTTTTCACCCTAAATCGCAGCAATATGAGTGAGGAGCTAAAGAAATCCCCTCTACTACAACCTCACTCCCAAGAGCCAAAGACTATGAAGCCACATTCCAGCACCTGGTCCAGAATAACCAGCACAGACTGCAGTGCAGGATGCTGCCACCAGAGGGAAACACCAGTGTGACATCTCAATGTGTATAAAATCAGACACTTTCTCACAGAGGATCCACTATGAAAATCAGATTGTCGTTTTGAATACTTCTTCTACCTGTATCTTCAAATGTATTCTAAATGCACCACAAACTGACTTTGCTTGGTCACAGGTATCACGGATGACTAAAATAGTTCCGATTAAACGTGAAGCACATCAGCTATTCTGCACACAAACATATATTTTTAAGTGTAATTCTAAGTCTTAGACAGTTTGCTAAAAATGTGTCACTTCTCTACAGATCGCAGGCCCATTGTATTTGCTCAAACCACACCAGCACTGGTGTTATGTGACAAAACCAGTGATGTGGTCACTCTGTACTTAGGATGAATTTATTGTGTTCATATTTTGCTAAAAGTATTTATCCTATTTTACAAATGTGCAAAAGCTTCTTTTTCATAAATATACTTGTCATATATTTTTGTATACTAACACCTACTGTAAATTAGTGTATCTCAGAATATATTCAATTATGTCAGTATTGTTGTGAGAATATGATGTATTTTACATAGCTAACTACATAATCTGACCATATGTGTTTGCTATACTGTATTACCAATGTTAATATGTTTTACCAATAACATCAAAACAGATTTATGTACAGTTGTGGTGCCATTAGTCCGAGATCAAAAACAGTCACTGTGATAAATGTCAAACATGTAGTACACCTCAGTACTGCACATTTGACAGTAATGTATATGATGTTATTGGATTATAATTACTGATACGTTGTAATGCTCATCACTTTAATGTTACAGCTGGTAAAGGTGGAGCTACTTTATACACTTATAATTTGAAGTACTTTACTTACTGCTGGGTAGCTTGTGGATTTACCCCCAGGGATCAGGAAAACTCTTATGATACTACAGTGGGTACGAAAAGTATTCAGACCCCCTTAAATTTTTCACTGTTATATTGCAGCCATATGCTAAAATCATTTAAGTTCCTTTTTTTCCCTCATTAATGTACACACAGCACCCCATATTGACAGAAAACAGAATGTTTGACATTTTTGCAGATTTATTAAAAAAGAAAAACTGAAATATCACATGGTCATAAGTATTCAGACCCTTTGCTCAGTATTTAGTAGAAGCACCCTTTTGAGCTAATACAGCCATGAGTCTTTTTGGGAATGATGCAACAAGTTTTTCACACCTGCATTTGGGGATACTCTGCCATTCCTCCTTGCAGATCCTCTCCAGTGCTGTCAGGTTGGATGGTAAACGTTGGTCGTCATGTTTAACATGTCATTTTGCTTCAGTGGCATTTTGGTCTGTTTCACCCAGATAGATGAGTCGGTGTGAAAATGTGGGAAAGATGGTCAAAAATGTGATTTAATGTGCTTCTCTTAAAAGCAGTTGTAGGTTTGGTGGTTGAATAAAAATGGGAAGGAGAAAGCTGTGTGACCACACAAAGCAGTTTTGAGTTTTGAGATTCAGTAAATTTGCCACTTCCCCTTTTTTTAACTGTCTTCTTTTTTATGTGGTGTCAAATCTGTGAAAAAGAAAACATTTGTTTGTACATGACCCGGTTGTACTTTTCCTCAGATGCCTGGTAATATCTAACATCTTCAGAATGAATCTAAATGGTAAATCATAATAATGTGGTTTATGATGACATATGAGTGCACTTTTCAAAGTACTCTACATCAGGATATTTCATTCTGACTGACAAGATGTACTTAACATGTACTTACCAAACAAACAAAAACACTATCTTTATAATAATGACCCTCATCAGTCAAATTAAATATTCTTCATATTTTATATTAGAAAACCAGACAGGAAAATGTTGTTTTTACTGCGCCAACCAAACCAGTGCTTTCAGATGAAGACTTTTAAAGTGTAGGTGAAAACTAAAAATCGACAGTATGAATCTTTCATCACAGGAACTCACAGGAATTGCACATTAAATAGTTTATTATTGAAAGAAAAGTGGATGAATAAATCAATTATAAAACAAACACAAGTGAGAATACATGGAGGACTGCAGACTTAATCTAAACGATATCCGGGACTCACCGCTCAGCAGGGAGGGATTTCATTCATGAAGTGCTGGAGGAAGAAATGGGAGGATGTCTGACCTTCGCTCCCATACTTATGTCTGTGACAGGAGGGTGTCCCTGTGTTGTTGTCAGAGGGTCTGAATACTTATGACCATGTGATATTTCAGTTTTTCTTTTTTAATAAATCTGCAAAAATGTCAAAAATTCTGTGTTTTTCTGTCAATATGGGGTGCTGTGTGTACATTAATGAGGGAAAAAAGGAACTTAAATGATTTTAGCATATGGCTGCAATATAACAAAGAGTGAAAATTTTAAGGGGGTCTGAATACTTTCCGTACCCACTGTATATGTTGTTTTACTCATCCGATTATGAAAAGTAACTAGTAACTAAAGTTAGTAATGAAATGACATGCAGTAAAATATACAATCTTTGCCTCTACAGTGTGGTGAACTCAAAGGTTGAAGTATGAACATACACTCACTGGCCACTTTATTATTATTATTATTAATAAACACAAATGTTAAGGTGGACGTGTTGCACTGCAGCGCATACAACTGTACAGGTGTACCTAATAAAGTGGCCCGTGAGTGCATTCTATCTGTACAGGGACCTCATTAAGTACAGTACTGTACTTAAGAGTGAATGTACTTAGTTACTTTCCACCACTGCAGTTAATTCTTTTTTAAGGTGAGTTATTAATTTTCACATGGGGGTAGTGCAGGAAACTGACAACACAACACCAACATTTTACCACCTAATAAAAAGTTATGGTATACAGTGGTTGGCCAGCAGACAAAGAGTTTGAGTTTGCCTGGTAAATCAAAGTCCAATATTTAACGTGTAACTGTGTTTTAGAAAAAAATCTTTCCCTGAGGCTGTTACTGTTCCATTGTGATCATTTTGACCAGTACATCACATTGGTCCTTGTTTAGCTGGAGGAGTCCCTGAAACTAGGCGTCATTGTCCCTCAGCTCTCACACCAGATTTGGTTTTATTTTATTACTTCTTTATGGTTTAACAAGGGTTCTCGAAGAATCACTGCCAGGGCCTTCTTTATATACAAGCTTCTCACTTGCTGCTGTTTTTTCCCCCTAGTTGTCCCAGTGCTTTCTGATGAGACTTCAGGCTCACTGTATTCTCTGTCCCATCCGAACACAGCTGGTACTTAACTTTGTCTGTCTGCCTTTGGCGATGTACAGATGATGTAGGGTTTTTAGCTAAAAACAGCTGCCTGCTACAGCTGGAAACAGGTTGACAAGAGACTTACAGGTTAGCAGATTTAAATATAGAAAACTACAAATGAAATGCAGTCTCTTACATTGCTTTGAGATGAAGGCTGATATCTGAAACAAAAAACTAGATTTTATTATGGCTGAAGTGACCCTTTAAAATCAAAAGTGTAGTTTTCCGTGTTGCCAATAGATGGCAGTAATCAGCCACTAAATTTCACACCTGATAAAGTCTGGATGAGCTGTGCACTCATTAGGATCTACAAACCTGTAGGTTATTTGACATATATTCAGTTTCCAAATAGAATCTTTGTTTCACTTGGAGCTTTTCTCTCCACCTCTGTTTTTATAATCACTGGTTTTATAGCAAGAACCAGTTGCAGATGAATCTGAGCAGGTCCACACATGCAAAAGAACCACCCCCTTGAATAAACTTTGCAAATTTCAAAATGTGCCCAAGCTTGTGTGAGTGTGTCTGTTAAAGACAAAGAGAGAATCCATGACAGAAAAAAGTGGTTTAGATGACTGATACTGTGTCTCCAGGTGCCTAATAAATCTACTGATCTGTCCGGCTCTGTCCTCTGTGTCTTGGTTTAAGAGGCCAGATCACCAGATACCAGTTCTGAATGAGGCTCTGTTCAGGTTCCAGGTCTCTGTGGAGAGAGCTTTAGGAGCTGGAAGCGGGACAGAGACATGGGGACACATCGCCGTCCTGCGGTCCTGCCTGGCTTGGAGAAAGAAGGGCAGTATCGGCGTGGGGGGATGGTGTGTCTGTCTGTGTGGGAGGTGGGGGTGATGGAGGTGGTGGCGGGGGGTTGTCAGTGGTGGATGACCTCACCATTACAGGAAACTTTCCCACAGCCAGCACACAAAGAAGGCCGTCAAAAGGTAGAAAGGACAAGAAAGAATAGAAATTTAACAGTGTGTAAAAAAAGAGGCAAAGTGTGCAGCAGCAGTGAGTCGATGAGAAAGAGGCTGTTTCAGCAGAAGAGTCATTGGCTCTTTTTAGTCATTCACAGATTTTCAGGGTTGATAGAAGCTCCACTTTTGCTCAGAAAGCCTTAAGAGAGACTCTTCTCACAGTAGCAGCCCTCAGTTTGGCTCCTGTCCTCTTTCTGCTGAGTCACCTGCTGCCATTTTGTCCCCCAGCTGGACCTCTGCTTGCACTTCCTGCTGCATTTCCTGCCAGGCAGCCAGCACCTGGTGGCTGGACGGTTTTCACAGCCGCTGCTGGGCGACATCACATTCCTAGCATTACTCACTCAGAATGGTGTTTGGAAATTCAAAAGCTGGCTTCCGTTTGGGAATGCCTCCCTCACAGAGTCCCTGTCAGCCTCTGATTCCTGGCCTCCTCTCACTTTATTTGAGTTAGCTATTTAAAGCCCATGCTAAGTGCGCTGCTGCTGCACAGGGGAGCAAACACACACTCCGTCTCGCACGCTAAAACCCACAAAAAATCCCCCTCCTATTTTTAATTTGCTGGACTGAAGGGCCACAGCCTGCAGGGCTGACAGCAGCCAGGCAGACACCCGCTTACATTTGCAATTTGACGCTTTGTTATTGCACTAAATGTGGTTAGTTTGCATTTAGCACAGAGTAATATGACAGTTCTAGTGTTTATCAGAGGTTGGGCACAACTAAGTATTTACTGACAAACGTACCGTTTTGAGATATTTTACCTGACAGTATCCATATTATGCTAATTTATACTTCTCCGTCCCTAAAGGAAAATTATACTTCTAGTAAATTACTTTATTTTAACTAGATACAAGTTGCAGATTCAGATTTTACAAATGAACATGGTATTATAATCCATAATACACTGCTACTGAATAAAAAGTAGCTTACTCCACCTACACTACACTACCATCTCCAGTTACACTAAAACATTACTTACATGTTATTGCAAACACAGACATAGTCAAATAATATCTCATTTGATATTAAGGTGCTATTCTGGATGCTTACTCCTATTTTTGATAATTATACTACTACTTGTGCATTTAAGTGCATGACATTTATATTGCTATTGAGCTGTGACTACAGTAAATGCTGGATGGCATGAATATGCCAGGTTCAACTCAACCCCAACAGTTGGGCCAGGGCATACAAACACTGTGTTAAAGTGTAGAGACAGTCCCCAAGTTTCCAAAGATAGAAGATGTGTCAATTGGTGTTTCGGGAAAATATGTTCTGACTGAGGTATCCAAGATGATGACTACAGTATCTGCTTTATGGTAAAGGTACCTAATTTGTCTGCCAAAAACAGGCATTCTCCTGTGACTATTTAACAGGCGGCATACTGTATCACCCAACTTTAATGGTAACTAACCCCTTACCCTCCCATCCATGTTTTCCCTGAACACTCAAATACACTTTTATATGGACTTGTATGGGCAGGAAAACAGTGTTACTCAACATCACACAGAAATAATTTGTTATACACTTATGCATTGAACAGTTTGACACTTCCAAAAACAGCACAACTGATTTAGAAATGTGGTTCTAATACAACGAGGCATCACACACACCTACACACACCCATATGCCTCGTGTCTACTTTATGAACTAGACACACACACACACACACACACACACACACACAGATATGCTTCATGTCGACTTTATGAACTGCACACACACACACACTTTGCACGCCAATCAAGATTTTTGGTCTACGTGCT